TCTCAAAAACTCCATGTTTCAGATGCTTCAGCTCATTTAATCATTGATAAACTAATTAAATCTAGGGCATGAATCTTTTGAGTATGCTTTTCTTTTTTAATACAGATAAAACAATAGAATGTGTATATGAATGTTAATGATTTCTGTTGTGAACCTTCAATACTGAAAATTGTGCCCCACGTGGTGGGCTTATGTGACAGGAATAAAAACTCCATGTTTCAGATGCTTCAGCTCATTTAATCATTGATAAACTAATTAAATCTAGGGCATGAATCTTTTGAGTATGCTTTTCTTTTTTAATACAGATAAAACAATAGAATGTGTATATGAATGTTAATGATTTCTGTTGTGAACCTTCAATACTGAAAATTGTGCCCCACGTGGTGGGCTTATGTGACAGGAATAGAGAGAAACATCTGAGCTTCCTATTCGATATCAGCTCTTCATCATCCTTCATAATCAAATACTGGTATTTCACTGGCTGTCATGTTAAAAAGCTTTGTGTGTGTGGCAAATAACTGTAGTAGATGCAAAATTGCAAATGGTAGTATATAAAAGCAAAATTAAATCAATAAGTTAAACTTAATATTGGAAAACACCTTTTTAAGAGAATGCCTAATCCTTAAAATAACTGTCGGTTTATAGCTTAATTTGCATATTTTTGCTAACATAAGACAAATTTATAATATGAATATATTTAGATGGATACAATATTTGATACTGCAAATAATAATAAAAATACGCTCACAGAATTGTGAGGCACATTTTTTTAAAAGGTATGAATCAAAGGAAGGTATGCAAAGGTATGTTCATTGGCTTTAATGACTTGAATGTCAGGTGCAACTCTGTTCTTTTTACCGGGTAGTTAGTAATATGCTATAGAGTACAGGTAAATTTTTTCAAATTCTCTTTTTCAAATGTGAAACAGGCTTTGTACAGCATTCGTGTTGTTACCAGAATGATTCAGAAAGTTTACAGTCTTAGTTTAAGACTTGAAAGGTTTTGTCCATTGAATCAAGTATGGACAGTGTATTTGAATTCTATAGCAAATGTGATTGCTATAAATCACTCTTTTTTGTAGACAGGATTAGGTGATACTGAGCTGGTGAAAAGAGCATTTTGCTAGCTGCTTTCACTATAAAAGGTATTCTAAGGGTCTTTATACAGTTTAGCTGCTTGGCCTAATTCTGATACCGCTTGTGCCGATGAAGATCAGAGAACTGTATTGAAATGATACAAGATAGGTTGGGGAAAAGTAGTGGATCCTTTAGTATTTCATTCCTCCAAGATGTTTTTATCTCCTCTTATTTGGTACACTGGTCCATAAGGTTCATTGTGTGTATCAGTCTGCTGGATGTTAAATGTTGCAAGCAAAAGAAAGAATGTAGACACCTGCTCTTCTTCAAGTTAGATTATGTAAAATACGCGGGAGAGATTTAGGTTTCTAAGATTGGTCAGGTATTCAGGATTTCCTTATTCCTATTTATTACAAATAGGCATCCTAGTACAAATTTAGAGCTAAATTTCAAGAATCCAGATAGTCTAAATATTTTATTGATTACATTTTATACACTGAAGTAGAACACAAAGAGTAAGTTACTTTGTGATTTTTTTTTTTTAATACACTTGTATCAATACATGGCACTAACCATTTTAAATTGCAGTCAAATTATCTACTGCTATGAGTCCATTCATGTGAAACTACCTGTAGATAATATATTTTCTTTTGATACCAGTGGCTTTTGTATGAGCTAATATGAGCTAATATGACAATAAAATTTCCTTTATGATACTGGTATATTAACGTGTAATTATACAGCCCATGTATAACAGTGTGTTGGAGGTTGTCTCTGCTTTTAAGGTTTGGCTGGGTTGACAACTCTACCCATGAACAGAAGGCAACTGGTACGATGTTCATAGATCAGAAACAAAAAGGGGCGGTCGACAATAAAGCGAATCTGAGTAGAAAGAGGCATGAACCCCACGTTGGTTATTGCTGCAGCCTCTGTGCCTTCCTCGTTCACAGTTATTGTGCCTTGATGATTGAACTGTTCAAACAAACAAAAAAAGGAAAACAAGTAAAAAAGAAATTGAGGATCTCGTAAGTATATTCAAGTGATGTGTTCACAGCCTTCCCCCTCTCCATGTCCCACACGTGGCTCCCTTGTGACACTCTTCCTGGTAACTCCTACGTGGCAGCAATCCTTTGGTTTTGGTGTGTGAATAAGCCTGTTCCTGACTGACCACAACACTTTTAGTGCCTTTGACATCTGATTAAACATGTTCCTCGTTATAGGAATAGACAAGGACATGCAGAGAAACACACATCCCTCCTATGTCCTCCAGGAAAGATGAGAAAAAAATTATTTTAGCTTACTGTGAATTATTTTTACTGTTTTGCCATGCTTTCAGGTGATATAGTTTAATCAGAAAGGAAAGGAAAAGAGGAGAGGAGTAAATACCCTGTCAATGGTGACTTTCTCATCCGATATACCAGAGTAGTCGCCTTTTTCGTTGAACAGTTCTTCTATTCCCATGGATCTCAGATAACCAATCAAGTTATAACTCTTCTCCAGCTTAAATTTAGGCAGAACCACTTCTCTTGTTCTAGTAAAAATAAAAACAAAAGTGAGAAATCATTGAAGATATACATATTTGCATGACACCTTTGCTTTACATATCTATTGTAGTTCGGTTTTTTTGCTGTCTTCAGCAAGCAGGACACAGAAATATACAGGACTGTTTACTGTACATTTACTTTCAAAACTTGGGCATCATTACTTCTAAGCTGTGTTTTAAAAATTAATTCCCCTCCCAGAACTGTTAGTTTGTCAATTTAATATTTCACTTATGATGATTTACATTATTTATGTGTATAAGATACATGGCTTTGAGCAGTTCAGTACACGGTTGGATATGCTTGTAATAAATGTTGAACTGTCAGATTTTCTGGAGTACTAAATTGAAGATTTGTCACTTATTGTATACAATAGAAATAGGTTGGCTTCCTGAATAGCACATCAAAGCAGCTCTTTTTATCTTTTTATCAAGTCTGAAGACAGATACCACCTAGTCTGTCATCTTGCAGAAGAGAGGCTGTATAATTTTTTCTCTCCCGTAATTGTGATGTCCATTGTTGATCACTGAATGTGTGCCTTTACACAACAGATATGTTGAAATGCATAGTACGGAAATGAACATAAGCTGCTTTCCATATGATCAAGATTATTCTGCACAAATAACCTGTTATTATCATACTCCTGTTTTTCCTCCTCATTGTAAACTTTATCAGTAAGAACTTTTTCTTTGAATCTACAACATTAAATACTTAATAGAATTTTGAACTCCATTAGAATTTTCCACCTCAATCATCTTTGATTTCTTGACAGCATTTACATTTTGAGAGAGCACTGGTCCTGATTTTTAATTCAATCTTTTTGGGGTTTTTGTTTAGGTTTAATGTTTTTAATCAAAATATCATATGTTATCTTCTGTGCTCTTTACTTGCTCTTGTCAATGGCACCAAGAAAATACAGTAGGACTTTAACAAGATGTACTTTTCAGCAGATACCTGTTTGTCATGCTCTTCTGCCATTTTTCCACCACTTGAGGTGTTATCTGCTTTTCTAAGGCTTTCATGCCAGAGAGTTTGTGTGGAAGCACAATCAGCATACTGATGTTCCCCACGAACGGGAGCTGGAGCACACCGCAATCTAGCTCGGGGTCTGCAGCAGCTAGGAAGTTCCCTTTAGTCTGCATCATAGGAACCTTTATTGTTTGCTTCTCATTCAGTCGGAAACTTCTCTTCGTTGTCATTTCCACTGGAAACTTATTCTCCCAAGTTCCTGTTAATACAATGCAGAAAACAAATAAACAAAAAAATCCAAGATCCTTGTTTAATAAAATATTCCCAAAATAACAGTTTACATCAAGTTTTAGTTCATGTGAATTTGGAATTACTGTAGGAGATTGTTGACTGACTAAGACGACAAGTGTTAAAGTGACTTCAAAATTCCTGGCTTGCTTTCTAGCTTAACATTTGTCTGATTTGAATGTTCTGAATTACAAAAGCAGGTAAATACAAACTGGAGATCTGAAAGGCCTTGGTATGTACTATTTTTTTCTACAAGGAACGTAGAAATTACAAAGTTTAAACAGATGCAAAATATTTGACAGGGTTTGCACCTAGCGAAACAACTGACACAGCTGTATTTTCTGAGAGGTCTGATACTTGAAATCAGACTCTTTCAAGCATCAGAAACGTCAAGCTAAGTAATGGCTGTTTTCATTTTGCATTAAAGGTATTATGCTGAAGGCATTACCTTGACTTAGTCCATTCAAGCCAGTTAACTTGCTGTGTTAAGACATCCTGAAGAGTTTGGATGTTGACTGCTTAATTCTATGACCCAGTTTGATATGATTTCAGCATACCTACGCGAGCCTGTCATCTGACAGGTTTATGCCCAAAGACTATAATTCAATGTATTTTGCAGCCCAGAAAGCTTTGCCATCAGGGTTTGAATCTTTCTAAGTGTAGATTCTTTGGGTACCCCAAATATTTATTGACTGTGTAAAAGAAGGTGCTTTTTTAAAGCGGTGTTCTTATTGATCTCTTCAAAACCAAGGCTCTGGAAAAAACATTATTTTTTTCTTAATGGGCAGACAAAGCTAGAATTTTATAGTGGAAATAAGTTTACTGGTATTTCCTGTTAAAACTCTGGATTTTAGATCACTGTTGGCAAGCAAGTATGTGGGGAGTGTAGCTGTGACTATTGGAGAGACTACAAATTTAACCTTAATCGGTAACCTTTTTTCGAAAGGTTGCAAGTGATTCTGAGATCCTTAATCAGACTTGGCCAAATTGACTGTGAAGTAACGAAAAAAGCCTTAAGTTCAACTTTCATTCTAATAGTTTCTTCATATGTCGGGCTGATGGGGAGCAGTTTGAGAAGTGATCAGATTGTAAATATTCTGAAGGGAATGGGATATAAAATGGATTATGCTATTCCCAAACAAATTGTCTCACTTCTCAGGAAAAACCAACATCTGGTGTTCTTCAGGGAGCAGAATTCACAGGCGTAGGACTCTAGCTAGCTAAAGACATGAAGCTGCTGTGGGTCGGGGGAGCTTCAGCAGCACTGTCGTCACCTGAGGAACGGGAGACATTTATCAGCTCTTCCTATCAGTAAAAGAGAGCAGCTGGGGAACTTTTTTCTTGAATTCAGTTTTGCAGATGTGTTTGTCTTGGGGTAAAATACTTTTCTCCAGCAGGACGCATGTGGTCTTCTGGGGTCAGCTGAAACCAGTTGGCACTTTACAGACTTCTGTGACTTCCTGTTTTGAATCTTCCCATGAAGATGTCTTTTGGACCCATCTGGCAGATGTTGTCTCCACTGATGGACTTCTCTCTTGCATTCGTGACTAGAATCTCACAGAAGCAATTTTGGATCTGTCAAAATTTGTCAGTTATCAAAAGCTGCTGTGATCTACCATGGCTAAAATAACCAGCTCCTACTTGATAGGAAGCTCATAAACGATTGTGCAGATCTCTACAGAATGGAGGGTAGATCTCAGTTAGAGGTAGACTGGACACCTATAGAAGATAAAACTTGCTTCTTACCAACGTGAATAGTTTCCAATAGTTTCTTGATGGTATTTAATATAAAAGGAGCTTGAGACTCCACGGTGTTTGGCAAGTATCCCATTACTCAGTATCACTTGTACTGAGCGTTTCTGTGTACCTGAGAATACTCATAGGTTTCTTAGCTCTGAGGGCTTAACAGAGCTGGTCTGCAGTAATACAGACAGTGTAAATATTGTAAATGGAAAGATGTGGACAAAAATTAGCATGTCTAGAAGGACTAGTGGGGAAACTGGGAAACCCAGGAGCAGAACTTTCTTTCAAAAAGTTCAGTTCACTCGAAATAGAATTACCAGGAGACTGTCACTGTAAGAGGAAAGAATGGGAGACAGCAATATAGAATTGATCTTTTTGACTTTGAGGGTTAAAAATTACAGCTTTTGGCAGACAGTACCAAGGCAGCTTGGACGAAAAGGACTCCATGGGGAGAAGAAAAAGCCATAAGTCTTTTTGGTCTTGATGACTCAGGAGATCCAATACTAAAGCTAGTTAATTTTCGGTGGCGTTTTTGTCAATTTGAGATAGCACAAGTATTTAGTAACTTCAGAGTGAAACAAAAAGGTATTTTAAATTTTACCAAATTGTGAAAAAATAATGTATCTGTTTCACTTTGTTTCACTTTCATCCTTTTCTTCGGATGGTCTGATGGACAGTAAATCCATGTACTTAATATGATATGATAATAAGAGATGTACTTAAGGATACAAATAAGTCCTTTTTGGACGGTACTTCAGAATAAGGGATTATTTGGATCTTATGCTAATGACTGCTTCAGATCTTTTGAAGAGACAAGTGGTATTCAAGGAGGTAATGCCTTGCAAGTGAGTGGGAAAAGGTACGTTTCATAAACTGAAAGGAATGGTGTTGTTCTAAGTTCCTATAATCAAATGCTGAGAAGGCAGGTGTAAGAAGGCTTTTGAGCATTTGTTTCCTGGAAGCAGGGACATAATTGGAAGGAAGAAACTGCTTTATAAGTTATGGAAAGGAGTATCTTGTACTTCCAACCATTGTTATCCTCTTGTGCTAATCTGTCTTCCCTTACCGGTATTTCATCTGATTTTGATCTCAATCAGTCAGTAACAGATCTCCTTTTTTCCTTAGTTCCTCTTTCATTGGCACCTCCCATCTTTTGCTTGTTTAATACCATTTTAAAAGTTTGTTACTTTCAACCCTAAGCAGATAACCAATGTTGAAAATCTCACCACAGACTTTTAGTTTAAATGTAAAGAAATTGAAAATAAGGATTTATAATAAGAATATATTGTGCAGTCTTTACTTCAAATCTCTTTAGCTGTTCAGCCTATATGAAACATGTAGGAGCCCATATCAGCAGACAGTTCATGCTGAATTAACTGAAATATTCCAAGTAGTGAATGCATTTTTTTTTTAGTTTTAGAAGAATACTGTTTTGGTTCTTCTCTTCAGTCCCCTGTATAGGCTTGTTGACAAGGATCATGCTCTGATCATATAAAAAATACATACTTTAAGTTGAAATTCTTTATAGTCATTCCTGTGAATCCTGAATACTTCAGAAATTTTAAGTGTTTTATCTGAAATCAACCTGTACCGTTTCAATGAAGCCAATAACTTGAAACAGGACTGAATGTGACTAATAACTTGCACATGAAGTAATACCTCTCCATCTAAGACTCCTACAAAGCTTACGCTTTCTGAGGCTATTCTGCATTCATATGTTGTTTTTTAGTCTCATTTTTAGACTATAAGGTTTTGGATGTAATAAGCATTTGCTGTATTTGTACAATATCCACTAACTTCAGGGCATGACTGGAACATCAGTGTGCTACAGAAACATGCAAAAAATGGGCTAATAATAGAGATGATTCTTAGTGAGGGAGTCAATAGGCTTTTTTGAACTGTACACTAGATTTAAGTTCAGTCTGGGGTTTCTAATGAAATACGCGGTGACTTGCAAACTGAGAAAATCCATTGCTAAGATTGAAATAACAGATTCTTACCTTTAAAGTAAAGACAGTTAAGAATCATCATCAGTGTTGTAGGGTTTACATTCACAAGAGCTTCCTTGATTAATCCTTTGGTCAGCTTCAAGATACGTTCATTGGTTTTAGTTATGAAGTTGGGATCTGAAAAATCAGCTGGCTGGGCATCAGCAAAGTAGTATGTTTTCGTATTGTTTCTGAAATCATTCAGAATGGAAAAGTCCTTCTGAATATAAAGGTCATTGACAGACCTCAGTGTATAACCAAAATTGCGCCTGAATAGCCGATGAGTGAGTTTGCGGAAGAGATTATGAACAGTCATGAGCTCATATTTGGTGCTGGCATTAATGAAGTCTTGAAAGCCAAGAACAGATAACACTTCTTGATGAGTCTGACCCTTCAGACCCAGAGAAATCATAGCCATTGCAGTGGAAATGCCAACAGGAGCCATGAGAATATTATCTGAAGGGTTGGCTTTGTCTGCCACGCTGCGGTAAAGGTTGAAGCCAAAGTTTGCACTGAGGATATTGAGGCGCTGGATTCTGGTTTTGCCTTGGAATAGTTCAAGAATATTTCCTTGCTGAATTTCGGAAACCATGTATGGGCCAGCATCAATAATGTCACTGTAGTCATCTTCACCCAGTATCTTGTCGAGATCGAGATAGTCGTCTTCCTCCTCCTCTTCAGGAATCAAGTCATTAGTGATAGTGTTTTCTCTGTGGAACTCAGGTGGCAAGTTTGACATATCATAGGTCCCATTTTCATGTGGCTGTGCATCTTTAAGGCTTTCAAAATGCTCAGTGAAGTCCTTGACTCCACAGAATGTGGAGGTTATGATGAGCGCAAAGGCAAGCGAATGAAATAGGAACTTCATTCTGACAGGTCAAAACCTGGAAGACAACATAACACAGTTGAGAGAGCATAGGGTAATGGAATTTTAGTTATCTATTCCCTAATTTTAGGTCCACGCTGAATTCTATCACAGCAGAAGGTCTATAGTTACTTTATTCAACAGCATTTTTTTTAGTGGAACAGAGCTTAATTAGATGGATAAATCTGTTTTACTGGTAATCGGTTTTGCTTACATAGCGCCTCCAGCCTGCCAAAGAATTGGTTGACTTTCTCCCATAGAAGTCATCATTATTGGCATATTTCAGCAGTAACAAAATCATTACCTAAAATATGTGGGACTCTTTATTTATAAACCTGTAGCACTTAAAATGTGTACTAACTGTGTTACTAGTGTATGCTAAAAATATGACTTGAAGATAAGTTTGAAGATTTGAGCTTGGTAGGAGGAGGGACTAGGCATCCACTACAGGAGCATGCCAGAAGGCTGAGATGTACTGAAGAATTTGAAAAACAGACATCCTGTAGCTACAACAAAAATGGGAGTTTTATGGAGTATTTTTGGAAGCATAAGGCTGAAATTTGATGGAATAAAGGAGACCTGGGGATGTAGCAACAAACCTGGAGAAAGACGTGTATTTGCACTAAATACTGTTAGTGGGACTGTGCTGTGGAAGCATTAGGCATAAACGTACATCTTGGCCTGCTCATGGTCTTACTCAGGCGTGTTACTACATGTCTGTGCACACTTTTTGCAGCTATGTATACTCATCTGCTGCTTCTGAGAAGGGTTGGCTTGATTCTGCTTTTTGTTCAGTTATGTTTCATTTTGATTTACTTTTGTGTAGGACTGCACAACATGTGCTCTCTGTTTTCTTCATGATGTGAAGTCTCTGTAAGTTCCTACTCAGAACTTTGTTTCTCTAGTCTTAGTGTTATCCCAATGCCGGATTTCTAACCTCACTCATTTTGTGTGAGGATATATTTAAGTAGAACCTGCATTTTTCTAAGGGGGAACTTAATCTCTTCTTCATCTACTGAGTATTGGACCATTGCATATTTTAAATTATTTTTAAAATCAAGAACTATCTTAGATATGTATTGTTTGAAAAGAATCCATCAGCCTTACTCAGCTGTAAAACACTGTACAAAGAAGTGGGTCTGAGAGACTTTTCGCCATAATATTGGGTTGCAATAATTACAGTGATCTTAAAAAAGTATGAAAAAGTGTAATTCCCTCCTGTGACAGTCAAAGAAAGACCAAAATGTGAGTGTTCAGTAACTCTGTATCAACTGAAACTGTCTGAATGGCAGGGTCTTGGCTTTTGCTCAGATAGTTACTTGATGACTTTATAAAGTCAATTTCTATTGATAGTACTTTTTTGAGTAAAATGGCAAATACCTACAATATAATCTAGGACAAAACACTGAATACGGTTAATACAAAAATCTTACTAGTATGTTGATTTAAATGTTTTTCAAATTAGTAAATAGTCCAAAGAGCTGTTCTGTAGAAATAAAATATATAGGTACACATACCTGCACATCTGTGAATAAAACCAGTGCTTGAAGGAAAATATTTTCGAACATGTTGTAGGAGGACTGAAGTAACTGAACTAAGTTTAATTTTTGAAACTCTCCCCCCAAACTAATTAGCCTGAAATCCTAAAACCATTTAAGGTGATTATCCCATATAAATGAATTGTTTTGCAACAATGAAGGATCCACAGAAAGTGCTTTTTAAATAGTTTTACACTGTGACTGAAGGACTCGAGTCAAGTCTTTTTTTTTATTGTTTCTTCATAAATTCATCACTTTTTTTCTCTGCCCTGAGAAGTCAGGCTCCTACGGCTGAGATACTCTGTCCAGTAACCATTGATAAATGTTTTCTGCTTTTGGCATAGAAGAATTTGCTGTCTCTTAGTTCCCAGCTTTACATTCTTGTCTTCACCAAAGTTCAGTTATTGCTTAGCTGCACTTACACAGGCAAAACATTCCCCGACTCTGCAATATATATGTCTTTGGTCAGATCTACCTAAAATAACAGAAGATGTAAATGAAGCTTACCTTTAAGCCACTGTACAGAAGGGATGTGTTGAATAGCTCAAGTAAGGGGAATGGCAGGGTTTAAATCTGAACTTTGACGCTGTTTTTTTGTGTATCTCCCAAAGTAAACATTCTCTAAATCAAACACTGCTAAACTTACTTCGTCAGCCAAAATCCCTCCCTTGCCTAGTGATCTCTGCTGAATTGTATGTTGTTTGTTGAACTACTTTTATGGCTTTGCAGGTACTTGTTCCCTTTTGAGGAAGATCTTTGAGCAAAAATTGGTGTGCGTGTAAAGTTTCAAAGTCAAGCACGCACATAAACTTGACTGTTAATGACTAGTAAAAGCCATGTTGCTGCTATTTTGTGCTGAAATGAGGGGACATCTTACTGCAGATGTGGTTGAGGCGTCTGTGCTTGTGATGGTCAGGCTCCTTCAGTCAGCGTTATATTGGTGCACACATTTGTGTTGCACAAGCAACTTTTTACCATACTGCCATTTACCAGCTTAAACTCAGATTAATTTTACTGTAATACAGGGATTTTCTCATGGGTTTTTTTTTTTTCAAATGAACAATCTGCCTCATGATTTACAAAAATATCCAAAGTTGGCTTTATGTAAGGTTTCACTGAAATACTGCTGGCTTTCATACCTCAAGGGAATTATTGTACAGTTAGAGAAAGCTTCTTCAAGCTAGATTAGAATCTAACATTTTCGTAATAAAGTTTCCAGTAATAATATACAGTCATATTGAATAAAGCTCACAGTTTAATGGGCCATTTCTTGCACTTTTTGAACACTGCCTGTGCTTCTAACACTTTTAAGGATAACACACTATGAGCTTTGTTATATAAATTTATCTACCATTGCATATCATGTTGACTGGGGGTATAAACTCTGCTCCTCCAGTGGTAGCAGCTGTTTGTGCAAAAAGTATCAGAGTTTTTAATAAATGTGTTGAAAATAATGCTCTTCTACTTGCTTGTTTAGATAGTAAATTCTCCAGAACTGATGTCATTGTGTGCGTGGGTGCAAACAATGAAAGATCCCCAATTGGTGCCTCAATGTATTTCCACAAAGCCAATAAACAATAGCAACCAGAAGTATGTTTGACTAATATTTGTTTGGTTTTGAGTTCCTTTGCACTGAAGCAAAGCTGCATGGCATTGTCTTCAACACAGTTGAAAGGACCGTGTGGTCTCTTCCTCTCTGCAGTTGATAGTATACTAATATTATGTATTCTCTTCAGAGGTTACTGTATCAGCATGGTATTATTCCTGTGTAAAACAAAGGAAATTGTTACTTCAGACATCTCAAATGTTAGCATTTAAGATACTCTGACAAGATCTAATTTTCTTCAGTATAACAATAGCAATGTAATACTAGTTTTCATGGATGACAAAGAATATTACCTTTGTAAATCATAGTAAAGAAGGTACCTGAATTGATCCCTTAGCATGGAATTAAGTTATTGTAACTCCCATCATTTTCTGATGTTAATTTTTATTTCTTTCATAGCTCACTAGACGCTTGCCGCCCATCAAGGAGGCCAAGCCCAGGTTACAAAAGCTGTTCCGTGACTTCTGGTTGTATTCAGTGCTGATGGGATTTGCTGTGGAAGGATCAGGTAGTGTAAATTCTAAGAGAACAGCATTGCTGCTCACATATAAACTCTTGATGAATGCAAATGTAACTGTATGTAAACCATTCACAGTAGGCTGAAGAAAATTTACAGGCATAAAGCAAACAGCAAACATGACAGTTCGCTGGTAGGATTTCTTTACATTTTTACTCTGTTTTGCTGTGAGATTCAGCACGGTACAATTTGCTCTTGTACTTAGGTTTTTTTTCCTAAGCTAATACAGCAGTTAGCCTTAGTTAAGTATGAGTTTTCATAGCAAAGTTCTTGAAATGGAAGATCATACACATGGGGTACAATGGTAATCAAGTAAAAACTTCTTATCCAGTGAGAAACTTTACTTGGAATTACCGAAACATGTTTATTATGTTTGGAACCTGGATCACTTGTGTTGAGTGTTTGTGCTTAAGTGCATGAAAAATTGGCCCAAGGAAGTAGTACAAAGCTTGATAATGCTAGTTAACTTTGTGAATCTTAATACTGTTTTTGTCCTCCACCCCACCTTTCTCTTTATACTTGTGCGTCAGGTCTCTGGCCAGAAGAATGGTATGAAGGTGTATGTGAAATTGCCACCAAGTCTCCATTACTCACATTTCCCAGCAAAGAACCACTTCGATCTGTTCTTCAGTACAATTCTGCCATGAAGAATGATACCGTGACTTCTGTAAGAATTAATTTCTTCTATTATGTCCTTCTATAATGTCTGTCAGAGTTAAATGATACAGTAACCATGATATATTGAAATAGCACAATACTCATTCAACCTGCCTCCTATTAGTGAAAAACAGCTTTTTTACACTACTCTTATGACAGCAGTGTACATAAATGACTTGGGTTTAGTTTTATTGAGTGTTAATACAAGTGTTTAGAGTGGTAGCTACACTATTTTGATTAGGTGTAGAAACCAAGTCTTTGGGGAGATGGAAGCCTTTTAATAATTTTTCATCCCTTTTGTATCAGACAGACAGAAATTGCACTGTTTTTTTTTTTTTAAAAAAAACAAACTTTGGAAGGAAACAACACATTGAGTCTTTCAAAGAAATATTAAGTGAGCTTTTTCCCTTTTTATCCTCTGGCTTGGTACTAGTATACTTCTCTCTCCCTAGTGTTTGCAGGATAGATTTTACCTGAGGACTATTTGTGGTAGCAGTGTAAAGTGGATTGAAGAGTTGCAGCTTATGAAATGTCTTTGGCTCTTTTTTGGTTTCAAAATAATACAGAAATTTGCATTGTGCCTAGATACTTAGTTCTGTGACATCAAAGAATGGCACAACAGACCGTTGAAGTTTCAGAAGCTGGACAAGGTTGATGTTGATCAAAATTACATGCATTTTGTGTAGGAATTGTATTTCTTCATTGGTATAACTGCATGGAAACTAGCAGTTATTTCAGCACGGAGTTTGACTCCAGTATTTAATTCTGTTTAATTCTGTATTTGAAGAATCGTGACTTGATGAGTCAGAGCGGGTTGGCCTTAGTCTGCAGACAGAGGCATCCTGGTATATTGTTTGCAAAGGTTAAAAAGTAAAAAGAGTAACAGCTGAAAGCAAATGTTTTCGGAACACAAGCTATTATAGTACTCCCACTTCGGATAACCTCATGTATTCATCTCTAGGCTGAATTAAATGAATTGCGGAGTACCATAATAAATCTCTTGGATCCTCCTCCAGAAGTGTCAGCGTTGATCAATAAGTTGGACTTTGCCATGTCTACCTATCTCCTTTCTGTTTACCGCCTAGAGTATATGAGGTATATATATACTTTTTTCACTGATGAATTTAAAAAAAAATAATTAAAAACTATGTATGTTCAAGTCAGAATTGCCAGACACTAAGATAAATGAGAATCAGTATTTTGAATCACATTAGTTCTGTTGAAGATTCTGAGACTGAGAATTCATCTGTGCAAAAATGCCTTTAAAGTAGATGGAAGGATGGAAGAATCTAGGGCCCAAAAAATGGGATCTCCTCTGTATAGGAACTAATAGAAGATGGACAAAAGGGTTCTTCAAAGGAATGTCTTGGAAGTGTAATGTATCCTCTGCACAGTCTTGTGCTTGCAGCTCCAAAGGACAGTGTAGACACTTGCCTATTCTACGAGATTAGTGTAATGTAGGAGCTGAGAAATTTTTTTTGTAGAGTACTTCCCCCCCCCC